GCTCCCTGCCCCACTCCCAGCAGATCTCAGGCAGCAGCACATCCAGAAGCCCAGGGACAGCCATTCTTTCCCTCCCAGCCCCTCACTTCCTTCCAGATTCCTCTCTTCTCCTTTTAGGTATTTGGCACCAATGTGATGGTGACAGTGGCCAAGTCCTTTGAGGCACCAATAAAATGTAAGTGACTTCTCCCACCACTGGGAACCCCTCTGCCCCCCTCTGCTGGCCCATCCCCTCCTGGTCCCTGTTTTGGAGAGTACCTCTCCCTTATCTTTTCGCCACACACCTCTTCCTCCTCCGAACTCTCATGCATCTCTCCAACCTGGTTTCCCTCTCCTCACTGATTCATCTGGCTGTTTTCACCAGTAGCCTATCTGCCCAGGCCCGGCCTCTGGCCACTTGGTCACAGTGCAGTGTGGTGTGAGATGAGCAAGCACAGAAGGGATGCGTTTAAAGCAGTTCGTGGTGAGGCATGCCAGGGCTTTCCAGAAGAGGAGACCTCCACCCTGAGACCTGAAGTACCCTTCACTGGGATCCCTTCAGCACCTGTACTGTCCTGTGTCTCTCACCCTGCCTTGGTTTTGTTCTTCAGTGCAACCACTGTTTATAAGTGTTAGAGAGTCCACCTATAGGAGGGAAATTTTGTTATCACAGTACAGCAAGCACAGGAGTAGAACAGCCCAGGGTTGGGCTAATGGCCTTCAGTGGAGTCACCAAGAACCAAGATTACCTCAGTCCTCCCACCCCACCGTTCTCCACGTGGCCACCTGTCCCTCAGCTCATCCCTTCATGGTCCCAGGATGGCTGCCACAGTTCCTTAGCACTGAGACTCCTCACACAGCCATGTACAGAGACAAAAAGGGAAACTTCCGGGGTACTTCAAAAAATTCATGGAAAGATTCGTGTTGTCTTTCAATTCTACTTTTTCATGAACTTTTTGAGGTACCCTCATGTGTCTCCCTTTCACCAGAGAATTTNGGTTGGGCTAATGGCCTTCAGTGGAGTCACCAAGAACCAAGATTACCTCAGTCCTCCCACCCCACCGTTCTCCACGTGGCCACCTGTCCCTCAGCTCATCCCTTCATGGTCCCAGGATGGCTGCCACAGTTCCTTAGCACTGAGACTCCTCACACAGCCATGTACAGAGGCAAAAAGGGAAACTTCCGGGGTACTTCAAAAAATTCATGGAAAGATTCGTGTTGTCTTTCAGTTCTACTTTTTCATGAACTTTTTGAGGTACCCTCATGTGTCTCCCTTTCACCAGAGAATTTCATCAAGTTCCCCTCTGCAGCCTCCCTCTTATTTCATTGGCCAAAATTGGGTCAAGGGCCCAAGTCCGAACCATTCATTAGCAATGGGGATTGGAAACACATGATTAGGTTAGAGTCTAAGACTCAGACTAATCAAGAATCACCTCTTGGGATCATGAACCTCAAAGAGGGGGACAGGATGAGTCGGGCATAATAGCAAGGAAGAAGAGGAGGGCACTAGTGGAAAGGCCGTTCACAGAGTGCGTGTCATGGAAACGTGGGCTTATGGAAGTGGGCAGTCGGGGTGAAGTAAACTCAGGGAATCAAGAAATAGCTGTCTTTCTCATGGTCTCGTTCTCATCCCTGCAGACAGGTTTTCTCCACTGGTGGTGGGGAGGTCATGGCCACAAACTCCTCCTAAATTCTGTGGTCCCAGCTCAGTGACCTTATAGGAAAACAACCTTCTCTCGACTTTAACCCAAATAAATCT